ACTGAGGGAAACACCAGGGAGCTGGTGGTGGGGACTGTGCTGGGCACAGAGAGGGTGGACGGATTCAGGAGCTGTGCTGAAGTTTGTTGCAATGGTTTGGAGGTCCCAGCTGTGTATTAAATTTGCAGGTGAGATGTTAAAGGCTTAGGAAATGAGGATTTTGACAGGAGGAGCTTTGCATTTTGTAGAATGTAGGTGCCTAATCAGAACAGCAGTGGAGACTTTAATCAGGACAAAATATACAAAGGAGGAAGCCATGGAAGTACATGGCTGGAAATACAGACTCTTATTTTTCCAGCCTCTGAGCTCCCTTCCCACACAAACATGCCAGACCTTTGAAAGCAGCAAAGCAGCACAAAAGAAGGGATGACTACCAGGCAGACTTTCTGTCCTCTTTTATAGAGTATGGCAGGAAATGGGGTGGAATTAACATCCCAGTTACTCTTCAGTCAAAGAAATGTGAACTATTTCACCTCAGTTTCTAGTCCATTTACACAAATCGTGTTCTCTGCATCTGTTTTATCTAGTGTGGCTCCTTGGCAGAGCTTTAAGCTAGACTTTAAGGGGGAGGTGGCTATTAGGCCTCCCTGTGACAAGTTGTGGGATGACACACCAGGGTTAGAGTAATAAGGTGCTAGCAAGGGCCCTCAGCCTGTTGCTTGGAGATGTGCTGGACACACTGCAGCACACACGAAGTCTTACAGAGATAACCCAGGGGCTCCTGAGGTAATAGGAGCCAACAGGGAAACACCAGTGAAATAGCCCAGAGAAACTCCAGCCAGTAAGTCAGCCTCACTGGAGATTCAATTTAAATGCCTCTATGCAAATGCACACAGCATGAGGAGTGAAAAAAAAGAGTAGTTAGAGATGTGCATGTACCTGCAGGGCTATCTTACTGGCATCAGAGAGACACAGTGGGATAGCTCTTATGAGTGTTGAATGGAAGCAGATAGGCTCTTCAGGAAGGATAAACAGGGGAGATGAGGAGGGAGTGTCACCCTTTATGTCAATGATAAGCTGGAGTACATGGAGCTTCACTTGGTGATGGATGAGTAGCTGACTGAGAATTTACGGATTGGGATTAAAGGATAAACAGGGAACATTATAGTGAAAATCGGCTACAGGCCACTGGACCAGGAACACTGAGCATATGAGGGCCTTTATAGACAGACAGGAGTAGCCTCATATTCACAAGCCCCGATCCTCAGAAGGGACATCAATCACCCCAATATCTGTTGGAGGGAAAACACAGCAGGACACAAGCAATCCAGGAGTTCCCTGGGATGTGTTGATGGTAACTTCATTTTTGAAGTGATAGAGGAGCCATTGAAGAGAGCTGCTATGCTGGACCTTGTTCTCACCAACAAGGAGGGGCTGGTGGGAATGGCAGTGTTGGCTACAATGACCAAGAAATGGTGGAGTTTAAGATCCTTAGAGCAGTGACGAGGGTGCACAGGAAGTTCAATACTCTGGACTTCAGGAGAGCAGACTTTGGCCTCCTCAGTGACTTGCTTGGTAGTACCATGGGAGAAGGTCCTAAAGGGATAAGGAGCCAAAGAAAGCTGGTTAATATTCAAGGATCAGCTCCTCCAAGCTTAGGAGCAATGCACACCAACAAAGAGGAGGTAAGGCAAAAAACACCAGGAGGCCTGTGTGGACCAACAAGGAGCCCAGTGTAAAATGAAATTGCTGTGGGTAGTTCATCTGGCTGAGGTGAACAGCACTAATGCAAGTAAGATCACTTTAAAATGTCACAGCAGCTCCTACAAATCTTTGAATATAAAGCTGATAAAGGATTCATCATTGTAGGGAGCAGAAAAAGACATAAGACTATGGGATCAAAGCCTTGCAGCATGGCATTTAACAGCCATAATGGTAGAGATCTTCACAAGGTCTCTCAGACTTTTTTCCACATCAAAAAACACAGCCGTAAGAAATTCTACAGCAAATCCATAAAAAACATTAGGCCTTTGCTGTGAGTGTATGTTAGTAATGTCTTATTTTAAAGCACTTTCTTAGTGTCTCCTCAGCTGATTGATAAAAAAGCTACATAAAAAATGTTAAGAGTAGTAAGAAATCTGTATTGTATCATGTACCGACTAATTCTCAACAAAAACTAATATTTACAAAATATCTTTCACCAAGAACCATCATAACTACAGAAAGCTTTTCTCCAGTGTGTTTTTATTAGGTATTCCTGCCATCATATCAACATACAAAACAATCAGGATGTTGACATATAGAAATGTGAAATTCACTGTACAAAGATAAGGCTTGAGTTACAGATATATTCCCCTTAGTCTCCATTAAATAAAACCATATTTAATTCTTCCCAGAGTTGTATTTATAAATGTTAGACAAACCACAAAATACATTTCAAGTACGTAACATTTTACAACATAATCCAAGCACAGACAAAAATACACAATACTGTACCTACAGATGCTCCATAATCCATATATGTCATCCTCACCAATAAAACTGCAGACTGCTGCTCTTTCTGAATATGCCCAAACATATCCTTCTGTGTATATTATTGGGTCCTGGCTTTTAGGTTACAGGACTCCCATAACTTTCAGTTAAATTACTTTGAAAGACCAGAAACTATCAGGAAGAGTATCAGGAAGGAAGAAGAACTTTAAAAGGCCAGGGCTGAATGTATGCACATAGTAAAGGCAGGTACATGTGCACACACACACACACACTTGCATTTAACCCTACATGAAACCTCACTGCACTGGACATTTTCTGAGACTATGTTCTCATGCAACCGAGCTATTTTCTGATAAGAGTTAAATTGCTCATAGCAATATTCCTACTTCTGGAGTGCTGTAATTTACAGGGAAAAGACTATATTTTTGAGCACTAGATCTAACCGTTGGATACTTTTTAAAAAAATAATTAAAAGACTGTATAGAACCATGTCTACATAATGCAGCAGGATACCAGCTCTCACAGTCTTCACCCCTCCAATTACCTTTTCCAACTCCTTTGTTAAGAACCAATGCAAGTGAGTAATTGCCCCTTAAGGTCAAATGTCTGCTTTAATTCACTCTCCATTTCTATTTGGCTAAATGATTATTACCTCATGGGAAAGGATCAGCTAGCTGCAAGTAGAACAAGAAGAATTGCACAGCAAGTAACTAATCAATAATTATTTTTCTGGGGAACAGACTGTCAAGGACAAAGAAAGACAAGAGAAAAAAGGCCATTGTTTAATTTACCCTTTGTTGCTTGGGAAATTCATAGCAATCTCAAAGTTTTCAACTGAGAAAAGGAACTCCTAAGCCCTTTAACTGTTTTGTCCTTTAAAACTTGAAAAAGATTGGAAGGGAAGGAGAAATTCTCTAAGTAAAATTGTTTTCAAACTACACATTTGCAAAGGCTTACATGAGAAAACCGAACAAAACTGATGCTCTGCTACCAAAACTGAAATAATTCATGCAGCA